GTCACTCGGCCACTCGGTCACGAGTCACGTACGAGAGAGAGAGAAAGAGAGGTCCGACGCGACGCGTCAGACGGAGACAGAGATAGTTGAATTAAGAAAAATTACACCTTTACATAAATTACGATATCTCGAAAACGGAAAGTCGGATCGTCAAAAACAAAAAACCATTGTAAAGAGGAAGCTTTATCGCTGCCAACAGTGGCTCAATAATGGATAAAACACTAGTAGTTTCGGAACTACACGCGTTTAAAGTTTTAGTACTTTTAACACGCGTTGTTGGACTGTTCCAAAACAGTGGAAACGTTTCAGCTTGAAAATTAATTACTGTAGTTCCATAGTGAAAACTCCTGTCGCCCATATATGGACGACGAGGCAGTCAAAGTATAACATTTGACAATTTTAAAGCCCGAATCAGTTTAGTTCCCAAAATCGAAGTGTTGGGTGGCCGAAAAAGTTTCAACGAATAAAGAAGCGACAATTGCAGCCGGAAAGCCAGTGTCTCGGATCTTGACAAATCGTATTACGAAACAAGTATGACGACTGCGGAGCATTGTCGGGTCGAGGGCATTAATCTCGAGGGAAATTATATGGAAAATTAGGAGGAGAAGAAAACAGTGAAAAATAACATTTATCTTCATGAATCTTTTATGAATAAAAATCGATATTAGCAATAAATAAGTCTATACTCGATGTATTAAAAAGTATTTAACAACAAATATTACAAAATATATAATATATTCTCTGTTCTTTTTCACTGATCCCCATTACATATTTACATATGTACATGTTAAGTAGCCTCGTTCAACGCTGTTTCGTTTAGCGCTGAAACGTATCCCCCGCGTTAAGCGGGATCTTACTGTATTTCACTAACCCCGTGATAGGGTTCAATCTCTGGAGGATCTGATCAAAATTCACCTCGGTCCGTGAATATTTTCGCGTATTTCTGCGAGACGTATCCCCGAAAGGTGCCCTGGAAAGCGATAGAATTTCGCCTTACCTTTGAGATCCGCCCAAGATGGAAGCGAAACATCCATCGTTGCGCCTGGCTTTTTATCCATCGAATAAACACGGCGGTTCGTAGCGAACTCCTTTCAATTTGCAATGGCTCCCGCGATTTCGTATTTACAGAAGAGATTGCCCCGCGAAAAAGAAATTAAAGGAGGGGCGCCACGGTCCCTTTGAGAATGTTCATATCTGTTGAATCGGCCCGATTGGTTCTGGTTCAGATCCCCGGAAACCGGTCTTCCTTTATCCGTTCCGCCAGGCAAACGAGACGCCGACTGTCTTTCCCCTTGCTCTCACAATATTTCCACCGCCTCGACCCCGTGGATAACCCTTCTATGAGATCCTGCCGCGCGATGGTATCCGGGATATCGTTTCAGACGTCTCCGGTTAAAGGACGCGGGCGAAATCCCCCGATTAAATTCAACGTGAACGAAATCGTATTCCGACATCGACAGGGGCGTTGTTTCTCTTTTTGCCTCTTATACGTTTCGACGGGTAATCGTAGCGAAGCTCCTGGAAATATCGAACAACCAATGACGTATTGTAAGAAAAGATCCCGGTTCGAGAAAAAGCACTAGCAATTTAATTTTATCGCAGAAAACACGATGGAAGCTTCGATAGCTCTAGAGTTAATTAAGGAGGTAAAAGTACTGTAGGCTACTGCTGAAATTATTAGCAAGTTTGCATATCTTGCTTGCTGGATCAATATAGCAAAATGTTAACCATTCAGGATTTCGTTTAAAAAAAAACAATTTTGTAAGAAATAAATGTAAATCGCCGTACGTGATTTTCTTATAAGTTACAAGCCTTGACGTTTGACCCAATACCAACTGGTCTTTTGTTCCTTACTCCAATGCTCAAGAACAAGCGAAGTTTTAACGAACCATTGAATAGACGAGAATATGTAGAAGATGTCAAAATAATTTGTATTAATTCGAAGAATTTGAAAAATTTACGAGGTTACAAAAATTCGAACAGAAAAACGTTTCGATGAAACTCGTACTGTTTCGTTCCTTTCCAATTTCGAGTGGAGCCATCAGCTACTGTAATTGCAGACTAGTTTCACCGCGGTTAGAGAAATCCGTGTATTTTCCAGCAGTAAATACAATCGAGCTCGAATAGTAATTCCGATGCAGGGTTTAACGTGCCTCGTGGTTCGCAAGATAATACGATCGAAACGAGAAAATAAGTACGAGTTCTACTAGCAATTTTCAATTTCTCGAGAACGGACCGAGAAATATTCAGTTTGTGTGTAACGCGGTTGAATTTTCGCGTGTTTATGTGAATAGCTCGACAATGCCAGGCGATTAGGATTCATTAGAAACCATTGCAGCCGTGTTCGCTAATCCAAACGCGAACATAGGCTGGCTTACGTTGCAATTAACACATCCGCTAATTCTTGGTCGCAATTTGATGCCCTTTGAATGGACGCATTGCAACAATTCGTGTCTCCAACAATGCTATTATACGTCAGAGAATAGTGATAAACTCTGAGTACATGATGCTCTAATGACACGCAATTTAATAACATCGATTCGAATATTTTTATTCGGATCGAAGTATTTTCAATTTAAATAACAGAAAGATCAAATTGAGGGAAACAATTATAACTGTGGTTGGAACGTGAAACTCGACATTCGTAATCTTCACAGCTGACGACAGCTGTTACTCAAGATAACACAGTTACCCAGCACGATATCACTGACCCTCGGAACACGAGACACTAACATGGTTATACGAAGGGCGCAAGACTCGATATCTAGAATTCCAGTTTATAAGGTGATACCAGGCTTTAAAGGATAACAAGTTTCCACTCCGAGGCCTCAGAGTCGTGGAAACAAATATTGTGAATCTTAGAGTCGGTTCATAGGTCAGTGACCCATCTTTGACTGAGGCTGCAGGACACGATTCCGAGGAAGTATTAATGGGAGTCGAGATCAAAGACTCTGCGGGTTCAAATGCCGATTCTAGGAAACACGTCGTATTATACAATACAATTCCAAACACATTAGGATCACGGAAGTTGATTTCTCGGAATTTCGAATGCCCCAGATATACTAAATGCTTCTGGACGCATCGTGAGTTGCAATAGCATTGGATGCTTTTGAAAGGATCACGAGATCATTAGAGATATCGACGTGTTCCGAGAACCTCGATGGCATCAAAGGTTTCGGGAACTATCAAGTGTCCCAAGGAGATTTTGGACATCACAGAGACAAGTCCCAGAGAATATTAGAGATTAAGCGGTGTTTCGAAAGTTCCTGGTGCAATATATGTTCTGGATTACCAGAATTATGAAGTATCATAGTTTCTAGAATCTCTGTTTCATATTGTATTACCGTCGAGTGCATTAATTTCCAAACCGTGGATCGCAAGATAAATTTCTCTCGAAAAATTACCGCGTTCGAAAGTGGATCTCAGCCCATTTAATAAGAATTTGATTCCTGTATAAAATTGAAAGGATGCTACTATTATCGTAGACTAAATCGTGAAAATGTGAAGCCTGCATATTAATTAAATAAAAAAGAAATAGACACAGCTGTTCCAATAACCAATGACGACTGTGTTAAATCATCACCTTGTCGTTATCTTAATTCGACTTCCACGATCTTTCTATTCAAAATATCGAATCCTACGCCTTGGAGATTCTTCGAAATCGATTCGTATGATACGAAACGGTCGTAATCGACTTCCGTACATCCGACTTTCTTAGTATCGTATTCCACATACTCCAGGTTCTTGGGTATCATGAGCTAAGTGCTGTTGTGTCCGGTATCGTGTTCTGTAAGCTTGGACTACTTAGGATCGACTTCCATGGTTTTGAAACGTTTCATATCATCTTCGATACTCCATTCTGTGACTCTCAATTTCAACATCTTTGCAAGTTTAATGTTTACATTAACGGAATACAACGTTCTGGTCAATACGAATTGTTTATATCGCCGTTGATTTCGTCCCGTACCATATCCAAATATTTTCTAGTTGCATAAATTTACGACCGTACGTCGATTCGGTTATTTAACTATGCTTTCGGAATTTACGTTTATCGTAAAAACGAGTAAAAGTTTTACGGGAAGTTCTCTTCCACCATAATTGCTCGCTTTTCCAATTTATGGTTTCCTCGTTTTCCAGTTCCTTATTGCGTGAACCTGTAATTTTAACTTCGGAATAAAGTTTCTTTTAGAAAAATATAGTTTACGCGCGCAATCGCCGAGCGATTCTTCATTTACACCGCGAAATTATACTTTCCTCCTCCTCGAACCGTTTTATTTTACTCGTCCGTATGCCGTTTTCCAGCACATGTTTCTAGAGACAATTTCGGCGTCGTATCCGAGCGCTCGTGTTTATTCATGAGCACCGACGGAATAATTAAAACGGCCTCTCTGGCCTGTTCATATTTACAAGCGAGCTTTGTTGTGTTCACAGCGGCGCGTTTAAACGCGGTTAATTGCATATAATAATAGACCTGTCGATGCTATTTTCGTTTCTATTCCCGTAACTTTTAACGATGAATTCTCGTATCCGTGTACTTTACGTGGAATAAAATTATTTATTCTCTGCTTGCTATATTTATCTTTACTTCGAGGTATGAAAGTGAGATGTATTTACATATTGTACCACAGTGGTTTCTCTCATTTATTTTCTACGTCTCATCGAGACTGAATGTTGGATTTTATAAAAGTTAGCCAAAAAGTAAGAACACTGCTATTATTATTATTATCTTCATTAGGAGCAAGTCCTAAAATACTTGTGCGTTTGCTGTCGCCTTACAGTCGGTTCTGACATTTGACTAATTGAATGTGTGCCGGGTTTCAAATGAAATGTCCTTCACGGTAGAAGATATACCATGGCGCGAATGCATAAATGCATGTACATTTAGTTATCAATCATAAGTCTGACTACATTAGTCTGACATTACTTCGTTTATAATTGTATAACGACAAACAAAATTGTCTAGCGCGTTTACATATTTATGTGCTTGTTTTCTGTTGCAGGTGAGTAACTATATTCGTTCGATCTTCTCGAGAATCGTATTGATCCGGTGCGTGAAATCGACGGTCGCAGGTGAGTCTTATCTTCGCACAGTGCTTTGTCCTTAATTATGGTGGTGGTCGAATTGGGCAGATAGTCGTATTATTACGATCTCGAATAAATGTCTGCCATTCGATGACGTCGGTTTATGCTTAGCTCCTGAACCCTCTGCGAAACTTACGATACGACAGGAGTAACATACTATCCTCTGCGAATGAAGATTTTGCGAAAAACCGTTAAACGTAAGTGCTCCCCGGTCGTAAAAATGATAAGCAGAGAACAATGCTTTAGTAATATTGCTCAATTTCTCTCTAGAGAGTCGCTTGAGCGAGAAAGCAAAGCTTCACTTCGCTTCACTAGTCGTACTTGTTAAACCGTCTACGATGATTCACATTTAACCAACGTAAAGACAAATACAATAATACTTCGATTTAGTGTTATTAATGGACAGAACTCAACGGTCTCATATTACATTATCAAATTATATATTATTTGTTGCCTCCACGAAATTATTTTAATCCCGAACTGTAAATTGTAACTTTAGAAATTTTTTTTTCCATTTCGAATTTTATGCTCGGCTATATATTCTTTAAATATTGCATTATCCACATATACGCACACTGTTCGTGTGTACTTAAATTAGATTTACCAAACAGTTGTATTTAATGACCACATTTGGCCCCAATTAGTCCGCTAAATCGAGGTTTTACTGTATTTAGATTATGTAAATTGATGCGAGAAATGGTAAAAACGGCACGAATACTAGAATTTAAGTTCATCCCTCGTATTATGGTATGTACTATAGGTTAGACCTGACGTGTACGAAAATTATTTTTGTACGTATTTCAGGGGAATGTTTTGTGCCAGAATTTTACATTGTTACGATTCCAAATTCTTTCGAGGACATATTAGCGCGTGATGTATGTCAAAAATTAGATTAATTTAATGATTCGTTACTCGGGAAGAGTAATACAACAGCAGGCACCAACACTTTTTATTTTTATAATCTTTTTTCTTTTTTATAATACGTTTCTCTAGGCACAACGATGGCAACTCGTCACAGCGAATACGATTGTGATTAAGTATGAATGTTCCTATTTGTCAAAGTTGGACTGACACGCGAAGATGAAAATTTCGACAGTTTATCTCGATCTGAAATTATCGTGATTTTTTAAAGATTTATGGACACGCGCAGAGAATGGTTGGAGCCGCAATCCAATAATTCCTCGACACGTTATATGTCACGAACGTAATATAATATTTTTACGCTACCGAACGAGCTTGGATATATCCAATGTAGGCCAGAAAATAATCTGATTTCTATTGCAAAGATTTTCGAATAATATATCTGCTTGATAAAAACGTTTCACTGGCGAAATATTTTTTATGATTTTATTTGCACTCTAACGAATCGGAAAGAATTCAAATGTTACGTGAACATTGTATTTTTTACAAGCAAATAAAGCCAATAGTAAAAATTTGTCAGGTACACGTGCAATTGATCACGACTGGCAACGGTGGCTGACCATATATCGTTATTTCTACTTGAATTGATGTTAAAAAATATTGACGGCGATACGGCATTATTTGTTTGCGCTGCTTTTAATTAGTTACCATAGAGGAAGTCACAACTTATTGTAAAATATCGTCCTTAAATGTGTTCAGGTATCAAGACAAGTAGAAATATCGATGTATGGTCAGACACCATAGTTAAATTGCATTGACGATGGAATTCTCAGGTTTAATCTTTACCAATTTTATTATTATTACATGTTTTCATGTATTATTATCTATTGGACATTTTCATTCTCTTTTTTCACTGGTAAAACTAATAATTTTTCTGTTCGACACGTTGCAAGCCCCTTAAATTGTAAAAGAAAACGAAACTATGGTTTCAAACAATTGAAAATTAGAATACCCACAATTTATCATAGAACTTATTTTTACAGCCTCGTTAAGATTCAAGAGTCTCATCTAGATTTATTTTCTTCGACGTGTAATCTTGAAAATTAATTTTTTTAGCTCCCCGGTGAACAAATCGCGTCACTTGTGAAGGGATGACGTGGTTGCCGATGTGTCGACCGTACTTCTTATTAATTTCGTTTAAAAATTTGCTGGTTAGGAGGGGGGAGTACGATTTTGGAAACCGACGGACACGATTTTAGGAAACGAGCTCTCGTAGCCGTCGGTTTGCTCGCTGGAATATCGAGCACTCTTTCCGCAGCCGCTAACTCGGGGAACCGTGGACCATCGAAACGACCGATGACACGATTTACATTTTACCCCGTTGTTCTGCGGCGTTCTCCTCGCTAAATCGCCGTTAAATCCGGGAACGCGGTCTCGGTTTACCCCGATACGAATACCAAATATGCGCTTCGCGTGGATACCGCCGGCGAATGGCGTTCGGGTTACTTTGCAAATTCTGGTTAATTGTCTCGTCTGTTCCCGTGCCCTGTCTTTACGTGAACCGTACTGCCAGGATTCATCCAAGTTCAAGCTTTTCCATTCTCTTTCCCAACGGGGTCGGTTCACGTTTGCACGATATCGAATCACGAATTTCGAGCACGGGAACGTTCGAATCGTAGAAACGATAGAGAAAATTTACTGATAAATTTCCAAGTTCCTAGTCGTTTACGATATATTAATGATTCTGGTTCCCAAACTGGACCGATGGCTTTCGTGGTTTCGACATGGCTGATTTAACTTACAGTCATTCGCAATTAATGTTTAATATTTCACAACGACGATCTTGTTGAATATTTGTAAACAGGTGATGCTCCGTCTGTTCAATGTGTTTACTCATGGAGCACAGCATTTATTCGACGTTTTTAACAGCTAGTGAATTAGACGACAAATTGCAATGTCAACGTAAAATTCTCAGATTTATGAAATATATTTGTCCGTGTCGTATTTCTATTTTGTGGAATGCCTTGTACGCTGCAAGTTTGTATGCAGGAAACGCTTTCCAGACACGTACATATCGATTATGGGATTGAGACCGTACTTTTGCGAACCGAAATCGGGTTGTTTCGTGGAAATTCAATAGGTCGTGCGTATGGTTTCGAACAGAACTCAATAATTTTAGATTTTTGTTCGAGAAGGGAAATTGTACTTAAAATTTTTAATTTTTAGTCTAAATTATCAATCGAGAAATGGTCTGTGATTCGATTGCGATTTAAATTTTTAATCAATCCTAGCGTTGTAAGTTCGTTAGTGATCCCGGCGTTCAATAAAGTTTCCGAGATTTACGCGGCACCATAATTACCGTGAACACCGAGGGCATCGTGGAACGAGGCTAAACGATATTGCGTTCATGTAAAAACCGGACTTTATGTTCTGAAAGAAAGGGCTCGTAACAGCAAAGACCTATCTCGAATATACAATTTTCTTGCGTTGCGTATTTTACGTATGCGCCATTAAAAATTCACGATAAACTGACCGAATTATTCCTGGTGCAATTCGCGTGGAACGATGCAAAACAACTTGGCACCGCGGGCACAAAATCTAGTCGATGCAGATATGCCTGGAAGAAAGGTGTCATTCTATCGAAAACTGACAGTTCACAATTTAAAAAAACCAAAAATACAAAAAGAAAAATGCCCGCGGCTTCGGCAGGTGAAATCCACGAAATTCAAAAACAAATAGCAGTTCTCTAATCGCAAGTTGCGACAACTTTCCAATTGCTGTATTGTACCATCGGTCGACGATATTCGTTCGGGCCAATTAACAGCCTTCAAATGATAAAAGCGCCAGCGAACAGCCATGCACGAGAGAATTTATCAATGAAAATTTCATCGTTCCTGCTATGTTACTCTATTTTCTTCTCTTTCGAGTGATTTTGGATAGAGAAACCGTTAAGCCTCGCTGGTTTATTACATAATTTCGTTTCCAAAGCGGGCTTCGCGATCGATGACAATAGGAAATCAGGGTAACACGAATAAAGGGGACAAAACGCGAGAGTGGGGGGGAGAAGTAGTTTAACGTTGGCTGATTTCTGATTGTACAGCGCTCGTAAATTAAACTTTGGATACTTTGAAGTTTCGCGAAAAAAGAAAATACCGCTTCCCTGCTCGAAACTTCAAATTAGATTGAGTTTCGGGTCTCGAATCATAATTTTTGCGAAGATGTCCGGATAAAATGTCACTAAATTGTCTTCCTGGAATATTCAATAAACAAATCGTGGCTTTTCGAAGGGCGCGTTACGCAGCAACGTCCCTAGCTCAATTTGAAAATTGGTAGCTCATAAAGGTGGAGTCAATGGGCGGTAATTTAAGGTCGGAGGCTTAATGGTTACGAGAAAATCGACCCGTTGGGAATACAACGGGGCAACGGAGTTTTGGGGAACGGAAATGACAGAATACGAGGAACTTTAATCGCGCGAAGCAACGGCAGATTCGAAAATCGTTGATGTAAAATATGTCGACGGAAAAAATTCGTCAGCCGTTACGTCTTTTCATCGTTTCGCCATTGTCTTTGGCTTTCGGTTCGTTTTTTCGGTGCGACGAGTATTATCCGAACTCTGTCGTTCGTTTGATATCGCGGAACGAATCAGGGTTAACGTTCCTCGTCACTCGAGCGCGACGATACTGTGTTTTTTCTTTTTTTTTTTCGTTTTTTGATGGAACTTCCTCCATAAAGAGAAACACGGTATGCCAAGTGTGATCACCTTTTTATCTGGATGTTATCGAGGACACGCGAAATATCAAACGCGCGAAACGTTGGGCTCTCTCGGGGCATGTCTTCGTACAACTTTCTGGCAGAAACAAAATCGCTTTCTGATAAGGTACCCAATCTGTTCTCGCGCCAGAGGAACATACGTGGAATCTCAAAGGTTTCTCTCGAATGCATAATCGTTCTGTGAAATTAAATATCTCTCAAGACATCGAACCAAATTTATTTTTATACGAATCCAAGTTTGAACACTAAGACAATACGAGTCTGATTTAATTCCTATCTATGGACATAAAAAGCTGAAATTTTGCACAGAGGTTTCCTTTATGATGTATACAAGAAATAAGAAAGGATATTCCGAAATTCAACGCCTAAGAGGGTGGAAAGGGGTTGCAATGTTTGTATGAGGAATATTTTATTTGTGGTCGGATTTACTTGAAACTTGGTCTTAATGCTCTTTGACATAATTAATCAAACACCTGTTTCGGCATTTTAAGAAATTCTACCCCTAGAGGGTTGAAAGGGGGTTGCAACGTTTGTATGGGACATATTTTGTTCGTGGTCGGATTTACCTGATACTTGGTTCGAATGCTCATTGATACACTAATTTCGTTTTAAAGTTGCCTTATTTCCGTAAATGAATCTAGAAACTTCAAATTTAACATGTAAGTACGTAATTATTATCTTATCGCTAAACCGTTGCAATGGTGTAAATACGCCTAAATATCGGTATGGGTGTCGTTATAAAGGTTTTCTGGGACGTTAATTATGAAAATGGTATCAATTTTGAAATGTAAGATCGCGACATGACATAAAATTAAAACTCTATAAAGGTGAATGGGGGCTTAAAAGGTTTCATGGAGAAACAATACCTATTTCCGAGGAAACTAAACGGTTTCCTGTGTGAGCGAAGCCGCGGGAAAAAGCTAGTACAAGATAAAAGTATTCCGAATATGGTTGGAACTAAAACTGTCGTTGGTAAAATTGTAAAATTTCACACACTCGCCCCTGTTTATTTCCGCGAGAATTAGAGTTCACGGGAAGTCGGTCCGAGCGTGTCATGAAAAATTCAAACACGGTCGAACCGGGTGGAAACACTCGCAGAAATTTCATTATACGCGTTCCCTGTCGTCTACAAGCGAGGATTATTGCGAACCGTCCACGCATCGAACGGCATCAATTTCGGATCATTATTCGTTACGTTGACTCGTAGGTTTCGAGAAAGCGTAAATATCGTTCGAAGGAACGAGACGACGGGAGCATGTATCGCGCCAGGGCACAATGATGATCTCTAATTCCGAAT